CATGGTTGGTTTTAATTTTTTAAACAGATATTGGTATCATAACACATTGGCTTATTAATAATTAAGGCATTTTGCATACACAGTATCTCAATGTGGACAAAAATTTTTAATATTGATTTCTTCTATGATGTTTTTAACTTTCAGTCTTTTCAACATAAGAAAATAGCTGCACACATTCATGTGCTTTTTTATAAAACACAATCTTAAAAAAAGTGAATGATGATTGGTCTTTGCCATTCCTAGTAGTAAGTCCTGTCTTATTTTTTCACACAGTATAAATTATATTCTTGTGCAGGATTGCATTAAGACCCAGTAGCTCTTAAACGATGTTACCGAATAACCATATAAATCCCAAATGCAGCAAAGGTGAACAATCTTCATAGTGCACTTTCACCTCATTGAAGTTGAAGCTGCTCCTTTTGGATATTTTTCCACTTCAATGTGAAGTAGATTGTTAGGGTTTTATTAGTGGTTTCAATACGTGGCTTTTTAAAAGGAAAAATGGTTTTGATTTCTTCCACAGTTCACGGTTCTCGGAGGAGACCTTTTTTTGTAAATCATAGTCCAGGGATGTTTTGAACAACCAAGTGGTCTTTAGTAGATGAAATCTCTCAATGCAACTGCAATAAATAAGCATCTACATCCTTAGCTATATTACCAGTATATCCTGGAACCAAAGTAAGATGGTTTTCCTGTTCCCATAATCCACTTAACTGTTGTTTTAAAATCTGAATATTTCCATCATTTATAATTTCTGTTTTGGATGATAGTTCTGACCACCACCTTTTTATGACTGCTTGAAGCCAGTTTAAACCAACTATTACATATTCTTCAAATTTGCTTTTAAGTAGTGACTTTACTAGAGGCAACAAGTCTACACAGCAGCCAAGTGAGATATATTGTTTTTCTTCCTGTAAACTATTAGTGAGCACAGGAAGGCAATCTACCACAACTCCAAGATCTTCTATCCTCACCAAATAAGCTACAAGTTCACTTATACTTCTCTTTCTCCAGAAAGTTAAAGCTACATTCAATCTCAAATTCCTACTGAACAAAACTTGAGCCATTGTTTCATGGTCCTGAGAAACCTCAGAAAAAAACCCACTATATTTTGATGATGGGCTTTCTGTTTGTGAAGAACTAGAATCACTGGAGTTAATCAAATATGTTCGACTATCATGGCGTAATTTTTCAGGCAAGTGGCCTGCACAAGGCAGTTCATTTTCTTTATTTGCCATGTCACAGCCCCCACTTCGAGGGGACTGTTTTTTTCTGTAACTAGGATTTGGAAAGGGATGATGAACTTTCTTTCTGTGATAGATCACCTTACGCAGTTTATCTGGGCTTTTCACAGCTTGTCCAACTGTTCTATTTTTGCAAGCAGCCAACCGTTTTGGAGATTTCTTAACCTCCTTCATGTTCTTATTAGTGAAATTAGAGATCCTTTTTCTAGGAAGATCAGTGGAATGGTCCTCAATATTATCACAAAAGTTCCGTTTTTTAACATTGTGGGTTTCAGATGCCATAATCTCTCAAATACCGGCGCCTCATGGTACCGCGGCGCCTCAGCCCAACCCTGGCGCTGACGAACCGCGCCGGCAGCCTAGAGTGTCCCTCGGCTCCCCGGCCGGGCCCCAGTCAGGGCCATTCAAACGCGGCCGCGCGCGGTGCCATCACATCTCATGAAGGGAGATCAGTTCTCAAATCAGGGCACAAGACAAAAGTGAAATCTAAATCACCCTTGGCAATGCCTTGAGGAGCAGCAATGCCCAGTTCTTCTGCCAGTATTGGAGCAGGTGGCCACGTCTTCAGCCCAGGGCCAGGTGGAAGCTCTGGCTTATGCATGGGGCCGTGGTGTAGGATGAAGGTCTGCCCCAAAGCAAACCACAGATGTGGGCTTGGGGCAGGGAGAGGGTGTTGGGACTGGCCTGGGGAACCACAGAGCCCCCATCCCCCTCGCACCACCCTCACTTGGAGGCCTCCACTGGCCACGCAGGGTGGCCGCTGGGCTCCCAGCTGGTCTTTATTCTTGTACCCTGCTCATCTTGGTCACTGTGTTATGTCTCTCTCCTTCTCACTTTCTTTTCTTTTTTTGCCTTCTGCCTTCTGTGGAAATTCCCTAGGTGTCTACAAATGGGTGGCAAGTAGACAGGACGGGTGAGCTGGGAAGATCCAGGATTCCCATCCAGACAGACATGGCTTTGCAGGTCACGACCCGTTGGCTGGATGGCCCTGGACACATTGTGCAGCCCTCTGGTGACACTGCCCCTCATGTGTCAACTGGATGAGGTGACCCAGCACACAAGGATTCCCAGGGAAGGCTGTCTCACCTATTTCACCTGCCTCTTCTCCTTGTCTGCCTTGGATGCCTTGTCCACACTACTGAGGAAGTGACAGCTCGTCTCCAGCCAATTCCACGGGACAGGATGTCAGTATGAAGGGGGAGACGCTGCACAGGGGCCGGGGCAGCCTGGGCCTCATCCATGCAGATGGTGACCCTGGGCTGGGAACTAACCTCCGTGAGCCTGCAGGGCACCTCAACATGCCGCGCTTGCAGCCCCGTGGCGGCCTGGAGATTAATGCTCACCGAAAGCATCTTCAAGATGCCTGGTCTCCGATCGGAATGAGATAAACAGTTTTGCTTTTAATGTTGCTATGTCATGTCAATACTGATTATCCCATAAGCCTAGTTAATTATGAACAGAGCCCTATTTTATATGTTGTGACAAAAGCAGAGGCCTTGGGGTATAGTCAGCTTCTGAAAGACCAGGGATAACAAACAAAAAGCAAGGTTGAGATATTCTTAGTAATAATACTCAGAGTATTGGAATTAGAAATTAAGCAATGTTGAAGGAAACAAAGAAAGATGAGTGGTCTGGGTGCGGTGGCTCGCACCTATAACCCCACCACTTTAGGAGACTGAGGCAGGAGGATCACTTGAGGCCAGGAGTTCGAGACCAGCCTGGGCAACATAGTGAGACCTTGTCTCTACAGAAAATTTAAAAAGAATTAGCCACGTGTGGCGGTGTGCCTGTGGTCCTAGGTACTTGGGCAGGTGAGTTGGCAGGACCACTCAAGCCCAGGAGATAGAGGCTGCAGTGAGCTATGATTAGGCCACCACACTCCAGCCCAGGTGGCAGAGCAAGACCCTGTCTCAAAAAAAAAGTAGTAATGAGAGACACAAAGCTTGATAATTTCTAAATAAAACAAAAATCCCAAATATTAATAGAACAAAAGGAAAGAGAAAAAGAGGGAAAAAAATTGATATTTTATATTTGCCACTGAGAGAAACAACTGCTCATGGTTAAAAAAAAAAGAAAGAAAGAAAAGAAAAGAAAAAAAAATTATGGGCAGTAATGTGCTTGGCTCCTTCTATTAAAATGTCTGGGCAAAGAAGGAGACGGGTCCCCGGTCAGGTGTCCGTAGCAGGGCCGGGTCTCGGCTGTGGGAAGAGGCCGCTCCCAGCCTCACGGAGAACCGACTGAGTTGGAACCAGGCGTCTGCTGCACGTATCTGGGCAAAGACACGGGGCTAGGCACGGCCGGGGACACAAGGCGGAGGCGGATGCAGATGGGCAGGAGAAGGAGCAGGGAGGCGCGGCAGGGGCGGGGAGGGTCGAGGAGGATGCCCAGGCCCAGCTGTGGCCGCCGGGTCGGAGCCGCGCCACCTGCGCCTCGCTTCTCCATGGGTCGGCCACTTCTGCTTGATCATCTCCCGCAGACACTCACCCCTCCTGCGACGGTGCTGGTGAGACCACCCTCATCTTCCTCAAACTGGCCTTTGAGAACGTCCCTCCATGGGCTGCCTGCCATCCCCTCGCTGTGGCCGGTACCCTAGGAAAGCAGCCTCTTCCCCGGCCTCCGGCACGGCACGGCCGGGACACCCACTCTCTGGGCCAAACCAGACGCGCCGTTTCCTGCTGCAGCAGCTCGCTCTGCTCCGACAGCAGCCGCCTTGGCTCTGGCGAGCTTTGCCTCGCAGAGGACCACAGGAAATGCCCCCCGCCCCGCACGCTGCCCTCTCCCGCAGGGCCAGGCCCGGTGTGGCGGCCCCAGCCTCTCCCGCCTCTCCGCTCCTCCTGAGGGGAACTGGCCTGCTCTCCTCCGCTTCCCTCGGGCAGCTCGGCTTCTGCTCTGCCCCCCAGGGCAGGCTCACCCCACGGCCCCCGGAGATGCCTGTGACTGGGTGCTGAGTCTGCTTGATCCCCAGGTGGTTTAGCAAGCCCACCTGCATGCATGCTAATTTACGTCTTCTAGAATTAGCCAAGAGAAAGGTGACATTTTGCCTCTATCTGCCTTATCTTTGTTCTACCTTTCCATTCCCTATGCGCCTGGGTGGGAACGGGGTGCTACTTCTTGGGTTCCTAAAACATCAGCAACAAGGAGGAACCTGACAGGAGCCACTGACCTTGACCAGAGCAGCGTCTGGGCTCTTTGCCAGGGCACGCGTTTGTGTTCTGAGAAATACAGTTGCACTAACATAAAAATAAAACACACAAAAACTAGACAAAGGAGATAGAAGGTAGGAGCAAAAACAGCAGCTGTGCAGCACGGTTCGACAGACCCATCACCTGAGCATGTTCATCTTGGGAGCCTACCCTCTGCGGGTGCTGGGGGCACAGGCAGGCACCAGGCAGCGGTCACACATGTCCACTCTTAAATATCACCTCCGCAGAGAGACCCTCCTCCTGTCCTGCCTGCAGTCGACCCCACTGCCGGCCTACTCCACCCGGCGCGGTCACATCGCCGCCCTTCTTCCCCTGACGGCACAGATCACAGTCTATCACTCAAGTGTTCACCGTCCATCTCCCTAACTAGAGTGTGCGCTCCTGGGGACCAGGACTGTCTCAGTCAGTGCCGCAACCCCAGAGTTCATTAACATGGTGCCTGGGACATTGTTGCCTCCCCAAAATATTAATACTTAGGGAACAAATGGACCAGGTGACAACTGTGCGATGAGAAAGGGAGCTGGGGGTGGGTGGGACAAGTGGGAAGACCTAGGTGTTCAGGGAGGGCTTTTTGGAAGAGGGGACACCCAAGGATGGAGGCAACACCTTAGGACAGCAAGGACAAAAGTTATGTACCCAGGTGAAGACAGTGGAAAGGAAATTCCAGGAAGAGGGAAGAACACAGTAGAGCAGCTGGGAGACTGCACAGAGTGTGCCGGAACACAACAGATGAAACAGGGCTGGGGGAGCGGCCGTGTGCTCGTGGGAGCACAGAGGAGGGTGCGTAAGATAAACAGGGAGATGGGAGTGGAACAAAAGATGCAGGTGGCCAGGGGGGCCAGGCACAAATGTGGCGGCCTCCACAACCAGCGAAGGCAGCACCTAATATGAGGCCCAAAGGATGTCGGGAGAGCCCAGGCGGGGAGGAGGATGGTGCCAGGAGGAAGGCCTGGTGGAAAGGCCCGGGGGAGGGCAGGGTCCTGTTCAAGGAGTCACGTTCGTGCGTGAGTGCCCGGGTGGAGACGGACGGCACAGGCCCCCGGGCTCCGTGGGCCTGCAAGTGGGTCGGCTGTCAGCTCCCCGCCCCGCGCAGAGAGATGGATGAGGCTGAAGTACTGACCTTCTCAACCAGGTCTTCGGGGGCCTGCTCTTCACAGAGGTGAATTTTATCTTCAATGCACTTCTTCAAAAGGTCTATCTTGCTTTTACTCTTGGACCGCGGCTTTCTCACCTTGGACTGTTGCTAGAGGGGTCGGAGAAAGCACGGGCAAGAAGGTGGTCACCAGCGAGTCCACGCAGCCCCCGGGCTCCGCAGCCGACAGAAGTTTCTACAGCTCACGGAACTGTGCAATCTGCCTTAGGCCAGACGGGGCGGGGGGCCGGGGGTGGGCACCGACACATCCATCCTACCTGCAGCTCGGGGGCAGCCAGGGCCTGGTCCAGTTTCAGGCACTCCGCCTCTCGCCAAGCAGTCTGAAATCGCTGCAGCAGGACTCGGGCCCGGATTTTGGGCAGGGCCAAGCTCCTGTCCATCTGAGCGAAGCAGCCGTGGACCTCCTGCTGCATCCTGAGCAGCTCCTCTTCAGACACGGAGAAGGCCGTGGCACAGAGCTTCCTGGGAGGGAAGAACAGCAATGTGCTCTTCCCCAGAGAAAGTGCGGGTCTGGGGCTGGGGTGGCACAGCTAGAGGTTCAAAGGTCATCAGTCAAATCCACGTCTGGAGAACACAGCACCAGGGCCTCAGCCACGCATTCATCCACAGGATTTCTTGGGCACTAATGAGTGCTGTGTTGGACGTGATGTCATATTGGAGCTGACAGTTAGAGTCAAATGAGGCAGACCTGGGAGGGTGTCTCTTCCAATAATCGTGACCTTGAAGATAACCTGGTCTTGCGTTAGAGACAGACATGAAAACAAAGCATTGTCCACTGGCCAGCAACACACCATACACAGGTACCAGTGGCACAGAGGACAGATGCTCAGCTCAGATCAGGGACTCAAGATGAAGGGGGTCTCCTGCACTTGGTTCTAAAAGATGACAATTGACACAATCACTTAGTGGAAACCTATTCCATGCTGGAAACCACACTGAGTGCTTTACTGTTATGGGTTGAATTGTGTCCCCAAAAAGATATGTTCAAGTCCTAACCCATGGTACCTGCGAATGTCACTTTACTTGGACACAGGGTCTTTGCAGATGTAATTAAGAAGTTAAGGTGAGGTTACAGAGAGTAGAGTGGGCCCTTAATCTAATCTGACTGGTGTCCTTATAAGAACAGGAGAAGAGCGACAAACACGCAGGCAGAAGGCCAGGTGAGGACGGAGACAGAGATGGAGTGACACGTCTATAGGCCAGTGAACACCAGGGACTGCCAGCGACACCAGAAGCTAAGAGAAGGCAGCGAACAGACCCTGCCCTAGAACCTTCGGAGGGAGCGTGGCACTACCAACACCCCGATCTTGGAATTCCAGCCTCCAAAACCGTGAGAGAATAAATGCCTTCTGTTTTAAGCACCCAGTCTGTGGTCCTTCGTTATGGAAACACTAAGCAACAAATATATTTACCTACCTCCTTGCTCATCCTTACCCCAACCTAGTCCTCAAAATACAGACGCAGAAAGGAGGAACATTCCCTCTTCCCTTCCGGCAAGGCCCCTGCCCCCTCCAAAGGGAGAACGGCCACATGCTCACTGTCACAGCCACGCAGGAGCCAGTCCTGGCTGTGAGAGGCCATATGGGGGTCCGTGGGGAACTTCTGGACAGAATCCCTCTCTGGCCTGGGAAGGGGCAGTTCAGGGACTGGTCTCTTCTCTTTCTTCCTGCTTTGGGCAGTGTGCGTCTGCTCACTTATTGACTTAACAAAGTCTCTGTGACAAACACGGATGCATTTGGTTATTCTGGCAATGTTCTGTCAACAGTGGTGGCATAAAATGTGTTTGGTGGATGCTTTAAGTTTGGAAATATCTACAGAAGACCTATCAGGTTGGCCAGGGTCAGGCTTAGTGCACCCAAGTCTCAATGCGGAAAAGGGGCTACAGGCTGGCTGGAAGGTTCTCTCATGGAGGCAGAATGGGACCTTCCGCGATGACATGAACCCTCCGTCAAAAATAGTCTGAGGTCCCCAAGCTCACGTCATGTGACACCCTGTCTTTGGTTCCTTGTTCTGTGGGTCCAGAAACTGCAGCCACTCCCTGGCACCTTTCCTGTGCAAAGCCTTTGCATGTAACCCAAGGGAAAGCAACTCTGAAGTGCATCTAAGTGTTATTCGTGCGCCACCTTCAAACCAGATCAGTCCTTAGTAGTCCTGTCTTAACCCCCTGTTATGCAAGCCCCAAGAGAATACAGAAATAGAGGAGGCAGAATCTTTGCCCTGAAGGAGTTTGAAATCAAGGCAGGAACTTAGGAAAGAAGTCTCCAAGACATACATTCCCTGGCAAAAATATTCCTCATTAATTCCTACTTTACCTAACCAGTTTTACAGCAACCCCATCTTGCTTGAAATTGGGAAGCTTATAAAAATGTTCCCAAACTATTGTGTAATGCCATTTTACATAATGCCTCTGAAATAAAGGCTGTAACCTTTTAAATAGAATCTTAAAGAAGCAAAGTATATAAGCAGACTCACATTGTGTATACAGTTGACCCTTTTAACCCTCAGAAAAATCATAGAGTTTTCTGATAGCCAAGTGAGAGGTCTTTTTCCTGCTAAATCAATGGCGACTTTATTAATACTCCCTACAAAATGTATCCAAATGAAGTTGGAGCAAATGACTCATCTGGTAACAGGAGTGTCAGATCTAATTCGCACACTAAGAAGAATCCAAAGCCAGTTTGAACATATAAAGAGAATTTGAGCAGAATAAATACTGTTGAGAATAATTCATGAGAATAAAAAATAGCATTTAAGGATTTGATTTTTACAGGCTTAGAGAAGACACATCTTGCTTTCTCTGTCAAGAAAAGAAAAACTAACAAAGACTAAATAAATAAGGCCAGAATCACAATGGAGACATTTGGAAAGGAGCCTGAGGTCACTTATGCAAACCAAGATAAGATCTCTCTCTGCAGACACCTGGGGACCTGCTTTTCTGGTAACAAGGTCAGTCCTCAGAGACAAGAACTATGTGGGAAGGGGCACGAAATCACTGAGGCCAGTAAGACCCCGGGACACAACTTCTGCCAAGGGAGGATGGGGCTGCAGACCAATGCTCCACCACCTGCTATCCCTCAAAGGGTCCAAAAAGGTCCAGCGTCTAATACAAATACTGTCTTCACATTTAACCCACTTGCTACTGTCATATGCTGCTGAAAGCACCCTAGAAGATTTCATTGTTGTGGTCCTCACTTTACAGGCAAGAGAGATGGGACCCAGGGAGGTTAAGTGACTTGCCCACACCCAACAGTAGGTGGTGGTCCTCGAATTTAAACCCAGGTCCCTTTGGTCTACACTGCCTATGTCTCAATCCACGCTGCCTGGATTTGAGGCTCCTCCAGTTTCCAGTCGTGTGAGCCAGCCCCAAACAACAGTGGACAGCTCTGCTGGTCCCTACTGCACCACTAAAGGCTGGATGCTCGGGCCAAGCCAAACCTCAGTCGCACAAAAGAAACAGCACAGGGCGCAGGGAGGGAAAGGACGCTGCCTCTCTGGAATCCGACTCCAGCTGGTCCTCATTGCTGCAGCTCCCATGTCTAGAAAATCTATTTGTGCAGTTTATCCATCACTTTCCATTTACTGCAGGGGGAATGTTAGTTAGCTGTGCTCTACTTTCTCCTACTCAGAAGTAGAAGTGAGGCCCAGGGACTGTCACGGAAGAGGGGGCGCGTGAGATTATAACAGGGCCGAATCCGAGGGATGGCATTAGTTTAGATCCTCCAGATGAAGGAGGGGCACACAGAAGCCTAAAGGATACTAACTGGAATGCTTTGTTTTTCAGGCCACATGCGGTAGATATCCATCCGAATCATAAATTTTTATTTCCTGCTTCCTATAGACTTAGAACTTCCTGAGTATAACTGTTCTCAGTTATGGGTTTATACAAAAGGAGATATAATGAGTAATTTATCTGCCACTTTAATATAAATTACTAAAGAGACTAAAGTATTCTGACACAATAAAGGTCTCTAAATTCCCTTAGCTTACATGTTAGCAATGTTTATGTTTGCTACAAGTCTACCACTAGACCCAAACATGTAGTAGCTCAACACTTACAGATAAATTAGTTTTGTAGCCTTGTCTTTGACATTTTGGATTTTACTCTTACATTGCCTAGGAGGTTTGAAAGTGTTGATGAGTGCCTGTCCACCTCCAGTCCTGTTTGGCCTAAAATACTTAATTGGCTGTAAGCCCCTCTTTGACTCTTTAGTCCTCTTGGCCACAAGGGTCCCACCGAGGGACTGGATGGACCCAGGGCAGGTGACCACACCACCCTGGCAAGGGATGGGACAAAATAAGGGTTTGGCCATAGATGCTGCCTCTGGCAGATCTTGGCCAAAAGGGGGAAATTGTGAACTAAAATAAAATCTTAAAGCTCCCCCCACCAAAAAAAAAAAGAATAGAAGTCATTACATGGTGTTTAAGTCAATAATAAAAACAAATAGCCCAATTAATGAACCAATGGATGAAAAGGCCAGGTGGCAAGACTGTGCCACGTGGTGGAAGAACCAAAACGAAGGCCCAGTATCACACGCGGCCTTGACGTTTGCTGAAACCAGGAGGGCCTGGACTGGCCTGACCGCAAGTTCCCTTCCCACACTGCTCCCCCGATAAGGTCCCCTCGCCAAACAACGCTTCTCATTAGGGAGACCAGCACGGCCCCGGCTCATCCCTGAGGAGCAGGTTTGAGCTCCCTGGTAGCCTGTGGGAGCAGGGGCCACTGTCATTACAAAGTCCGCCTCCCACAGCCCTGGTTCTGCGCTCTGCTCAATCCTCGTGTGGCCCTGCCTGGCACGCGGGGTCCTCTTGCTGGAGTTTACGTGATCAAGAAATGCCATCGATCTCCTCTGTCCAGGGTCGGTGTCCTGTGCTAGGCCATCCCTGCAAGCACAGGGTGGGAATCCCTCCCTCGTCGGGGCGGGGCGAGGGATCGGGACACGCGGCCACACTCACGTAAATACCGAGCGCTCCCAGTGTCGAAGTTCTGCCTGCTCCTCCACCGCGGCCTCTAGAGCATCGTCCTTCAGCCTCTGCCTCACGCTCTGGACACCCTCCTGGTCCCTGTCCCGCTCCTCCGCCTCCAGCTGCTCGGCCCGCGCGGCCATCTCCTTGCTGTGCTCCTCCAGGATCTGCTGCAGGAAGAGCCAGGGCACGCTGTGCTTGAGCAGCTCCTGGGTCATCGCCGAGCTCTGGAGGCGCCGCAGCTCCTCGGTGGCTTTCTCGGACAGCGAGAGGGTCAGGGCCCTGAGCTCGTCCAGGGCAGCCTGGTCCAGACGCTCCTGCAGCTCTTCCAGGGCAGCGCTACGCTCTGCCATCACGCGCCGCCACTGCTGAAGGTACTGGCCAACGTCCTCGGCAGCCCGGAAGGCTTCGCCAATGGACAGCTGCTCCTTGCGCTGCTCCTTGTGCTGGCGGGAGTGTCAAAAGGGAAAATAAGTGGGGGTAGGGCTTGGTGGGTAGGGCCCTTTGGGAAAACGCTTTGGAAGTTTGTTGCAGAGGCACAGGATGTTTCTGGCCTTTCCGCCAGCCACCTCACATTGAGAAATTATTCTTAAGAAAATAAAAGACAGTGAAAACTTCATGTCTTCAACATTCATTGATCACATATTTATTGAGTAGGCAAAGCCCAGAAGGCCGACTACCTGGGTTCTAATCCTGGCTCCTCCATTCACAAGCTGAGTGACCTAAAGCAAGTGTCTTACCTCTCTGTGCCTCCACTTCCTAATCTGTAAAATGGGGATAATAATAGAACCTACCTCATAGAGTAGTTGTGAGTATCAGATGGTTGCTTCATACATGTGTGGCTCTTAGGAAAGTGCCTGGTGTGGAGTTCACACCCGTACATATCTGCTATTGCTATTACCATGTGCCAGGCACACAGTGTCCGCAAATCATAGTATTTTAAGGGGAAAAAACCTGAGATCATTGAGAGACAACTTAAATGAGGAGGTCACCAAAGGACCTTTAAGGAAGAAATCAAGAAAGAACACTCCTGGGAGACAGGACAGTGGGCGTAAAGCCCCTACGGTGGGGAAGAACTGCCATGCACACAGATGTCCCTTGCAGCGGTGTTTACAAGAGCAGGCTCACAGAGTCTCAGTCCTCTCTGAGAGAACGTGACATGCTCTTCCTTTTGTTCACGGGTCCTGGTAACCAGAGAGTGTCAATTCATTCACTCTATAAATACACTTATTAAGCACCTACTATGTGTCAGGCAGTGTCCTCAACACTGGAGATACATAAATTTTTGCCTTCATGGAACTATATTCTAATTGTGGGCCACTCACAGTATTTATCAAAAGTAGCTACAAGAGAATATTCACAGAAGCCTTCCGGAATCTCTTGTAAGATCTGGAGTGCATCCATCCTTCTAGATACGAACCTTGGACTGGGCCAGACATCAGGGAAGTGTGGTTTTGACCCCTTACCCAGTGGCTCAGAGGTGAATGGGGTATTGCTCAGGATGTGATATATTTCAGTGGTCAAGGTCAGGGGCGTGGCTGTCTGTTGGGCCCACACTTGGTAATATAATAGAAGGCAGAGTTTCTATTGATCACATTTAAGTTATTCTGCATCCCCTCTGCTCCCCGCAAATGGTACCAGCCCACTAGCCCATCTGGTGTCACCTGGCACATGCCATACACCGCCTCCATCTGTCCTCACTACCCGTGCTCTGTGCTGCTGGTTTAGGCCCTCGTCAGCTCTCACCTGGCCAACGCCACAGCCTCCCAGGGGTTTTGTGTTCCCAGGTTCCTCCAACCCCAACCAACGCGAGCTGCCGGAATCACAAATCTTATCTCTCTCTCTCTCTGCCTGAAAACCCTTCAGTGTTCTCCACCATCTTTGGGTGAAGAGCAACCCCCTCAGCCTTGCACACCACGCCCTCACTGGCTTGGCACTGACTCCCAGACACGCCCCTGCCCTCACCTGTCAGCACGCCTCACCTCATCGTGCTCTCAGTGCTCCCAAACACGTGCCATGTGTGCCACTCACTCAGTATTTGGCCTTGACCACATTAATGAAACACTCTAAGCTTCAGTGTCTTCATTTAAGAGAAAATAGGAAAAACAGTCTCTTCCTCATAGGGTTAATGTAGGGATTGAACAAGATCTCTTATATGACAGACTTAGCACAGTGCTAAGAAAACACGCAGTAAGTGTTAGTACCTGTCATCAGCAGTCACTCAAACCAGCACTCCTGTTGCCTTGCCTGTGCAGACATGAGTAGTCTACCACGACCTTCTGCTGTGCGCAGGCAAGACAGCATTTGGAGAATCCTGCTTGACACAGCAAACAGTCACTACCAATCAACTACAGATGGCACGTCACGATGCCTGCACAGTCGCCCTTACGAGCACAGTACCTGGCACAGTACCTGGCACTCAGTGGGTACTCGGAAATGGTCATGCAAAGGACAAATGGCACAATGCCTCATATACCTTTTGTAGCAACTCTCGTCTTCTCTTAATTATTAACTTTTGATGGAGCTTTTTCTTTTCCTGCTTTAAGTCATTGTCCAACTTCTGTTTTATAGAAAAGACTTCTGTCTGAGCCCGCTCCAGTAGCATTTCCATTTGATCTTCATCCAAGTACCCCGCTCTAGATGGAAAAGATGGAAAGCTAGTTAATGCACTCTCCAAACTCACCTATAGCTTGACTGATATTGTGGCTGAACATTTATCTCCACATTAGTTTGGTTTGAATCAGAAAAATCTTTCCCCTCCAGAAGGATTAGGAGAATGGGCAGCTAAGATATTCATAAAATACCAGCAGAGTAAGGTTAGTGTCATTAGAGATGGGTAGAGAAAGCTCAACACAGGAGAGAGATCATCTGTTAGGGCGGGAATTGGTGAGAGTTCTGGGAGAAAATAACATTCACAGGAACACTGTGGTACGGATAGAATCTTCCAAGAGGAGATGGTGGATTAAAACTCCTGCTGTCAGGAGGTGACTAGGAGGTGACTGCAGGGAACACTCTGTGTAATGGTTAATTGTGTGCGTCAACCTGACTGGCCCAGGAGAAACATTATTTCCAGGTGTGTCTGTGATGGTGTTTCCAGGTGAGATCAGGAGAGCAGATGGTCCTCCCCAGTGTGGGGGCACCTCCCAATACATTGAGGTCTTGAAGAGACCAAAAAGGCAGAGGAAGGAGGAGTCTGTCCCTTTTTTCCTGCCTCACAGCTTAAGGTGGGACATCTCATTTCATCTTCTCCTGCCCCGGACTGAGATTTACACTATCTGCTGTCCGGGTTCTCAGGCCTTTAGACTTGGACTGAGTTACAACTCCTGATTTCCTGGGGCTCTGTCTTGCAGACAGCAGACAGTAGGACTTCTCAGCCTCCATAATTGTGTGACCCAATTCCTATAATCAATCTCTCTCTCTCTCTCTCCTTCTCTCTCTCTCTCTCCATATGTATATATATGTATGTAAAATATATGTGTATATTTGAGGACTTTCCAGAAAGTATCCAGCCACTGTTAATATAACATTCTATTAATAAGGGTTGGATACTTTACGGACAGTGCTTTATATATTTTCTATTAGTTCTGTTTCTTGGGAGAACCCTGACTAGTACACTCTGCTACCACCCTACTACTGTTCCTAGTCTGTGTGCATCCCTGGGCTGAGTCCCCAGATTGGCACAGGGTAAACTCTCAAGGGAGGCTTCTTGAAGGAAAGAATAGTAGATACATGTTTTAAAAATATACATGTGTGCCAGTCTTTTCAAAGAGAATTAAAAAATAAGAGGTAAAATATTCTTCCCCGGTAACTGTTTACAACCAGTGGTTAAGTTCTTCAATTGAAGGCAGGAAACTATTTCTCTCACCTAAGTGCAAATTAATCAGGAAGCTCGAGTAAACTGCAGTGGTACATGTATTAGCATCTTTAGGTGGGAAGTGTTTGCATTATTTGCGCGCCTTGCAGAATCCACATTAAACAGGGCAGGAGAGGAACAAAGCCCTGAAAAAATTACCTAAGTAGTAAAACCAATTCATAAAACCATGAATTGTTGCTTGTTGCTGTAAGAGAGCCAAAAAGCCAACTTTCTAGTCATGTCCCTATTCATTTAGAGCTTCTCGTAATCTAACGAGAATACGTTTCATTGTCTGCAGTTAAGCCGCCTGAAAGCAGAGCTGCGCGGGAACGCTGTGGAACGCCGAGGGACTGCACCGATGAGAACTCTGCAATGTCATCAATTATCTGACCACGTGGCACCCAGGTGCTGCCGAGATAAACCTCCAGAATCCACAACGAGCATCTCTGGGTTTATACCTAATGCCAAAGGTGAATGCAAGAGCCAGTGGTGTGCTCGATCTCAGAGAAGCCGGCTCTTCCATCACATGGCTGACGTGAGCCCCATCAGGGATGTCTCCAGAGAGCGTTGATGGCGATTCGCTTCACAGTAGTCCAGGATGGGCACTATAACTACATCAAGGTTGGCCGTGAGTTAACACCTGCTGACACCGAACAATGGCCACACAGGAGTTCATTATACGATTATCTTGACTATTGTGTATGTGCCTAAAATTTCATAATGCAAAGGATTTTTACAACTAGAGAATTCTCCTTAAGAGATAAGTAAGGGAAAAGGGGGTGGAGCAAGATGGCAAAATAGAAGCTTCCAGCGATCGCCCCTCTACAGGAACACCAAATTCAACAACTATCCACGCAACGAGGCACCTTCAGAAGAACCAAACGTCAGGTGGGGGATCACAGTACTGGTTTTGACATTATATGAAGGCAAGAGGCACTGAGGAGGGCAGCAAAGACAGCCTTGCACTGCCTACGCCGCCCTCCCCATCCCCGCAGTGCTGCCAGACAGGGGGGCACAGCACAGGACACAATTCTGCTGGCAGCCACGGAGGGGCATTTAGACGTTTAGACCAGCCGACTAGAGGGAAACCCACGTTCCAGCTATCCCCGCCACTCCCAGATGAAAAAGGGCCTGGGGCCTGGACCAAATTCCAAGGCAGTCAGGCCACAAAGGCTGCAGTCTTTGGGCAATCCCTGCGATTCGGAGCCAGTGGAACTGCGGTGCATGTAACCCAGTGAGACACCAGGGACGGTGGCCAAGCGAGTGCCTGTGTCGCCCCTCCCCCAGCTCCAGGCAGTGCAGCTCAGGGAGTCTTCTTCCATTTGGGGAAAGGAAAGGGAAGAGTTCAGAGAACTTTGCTTTGCATCTCGGTACCAGCTCAGCTACAGTCAAAGAAAGTACCAAGCAGACCTCTGAGGCCTGAGTCTCAGTCTTCGTTCCTGGATGGCATTGCTAGGCCTACCCTGGGCCAGACAGAAACACGCTGCCCTGAAGGGAAGGAGCCAGTCCTGGCAGAAATCACCACCTACTGACTATAGAGTCCTTGGGCTCTGAATAAACATCACAGGTAGCCAGGCAACAGTCACCACAGGCTTTGGGTGAGACTGGCTGGCTTCAGGTGTGACCTGGCACTGGTGGCTACGAGGGAGCGCCCACGTCACAGTAGCCCAGCACAGAGAGTGAAGGACTTTGCCTGGTAAGCCAGGGAATTCTCCCAAATCTTACCCAAGTACACAAAGGTGGTACCACCAGGAGTCTGTAAGAGTCACAGCATTACTGGGCTTGGGGCACCCCCAGTGCTGATATGGCTGCAGGGACCAAAGACCTAGACCACAATACTCAATTCTCTTTGAATATCTGGAAAGCCTTCTCAAGCATAGATTCAAACAAGCCCAGACTGCGAAGACTAAAATAAATACCTACTCTTCAATGCCCAGACATTGACAAACATCCATAAGCATCCAAAATATCCAGGAATACATGACCTCACCAGATGAACTACATAAGGTACCAGTGACCAATCCCAGAGTGATGAAGACATGTGATCTTTCAGACAGAGAATTCAAAATAGCTGTCCTGAAGAAGCTCACTGAACTTCAAGACAACACAGAGCAGGAATTCAGAAGCCTATCAGAGAAATTTAACAAAGACATTGAAATAATAAGAAAAAATGAAGCAGAAATTCTGGAACTGACAAAATGAACTGACAAACTGAGAAAAGCATCCGTCTTTCAACAGCAGAACTGACCGAGCAGAAGAAAGAATTAGTGAGCTTGAAGACTGGCTATTTGATAACATACAGTCAGAAGAGAAAAAGAAAAAAAGAAGGAAGCATACCTACCAGACCTACAAAATAGCCTCAAAAGGGCAAGTCTAAGAGGATATAGAAAGAGACTGCAGTAGAAAGGTTATTCAAAGAAATAAGGGAGAACTTTCCAAACCTAGAGAAAGATATCAATATTCAGGTACAAGTAGGTCATAAAACACCAAGCAGATTTAACCCAAACAAGATTACCTCAGGGCATTTAATAATCAGGCTCCCAAAGGTCACGGATAAAGAAAAGGTCCCAAGGGAACCAAGAAAAAAGAAAAAAAAAATAACATATAAAGGAGCTCCAATACATCTGGCAGCAGACTTCTCAGTGGAAACTTACAGGTCAGGAGAGAGTAGCATGACATACTTCAAGTGCTAAAGGAAAAAAACCTTAACCCTAGAATATTATTACACCCTGCAAAAATATTCTTCAAACGTGAAGGAGATATAAAGACTTTTCCAGACAAAGATAATTCATCAAAACCAGGCCTGTCCTATAAGAAATGCTAAAAAGTTCTTCAATATGAAAGAGAAGGAAACTCATGAACAGTATGAAATCATCTGAAGGTATAAAACTCACTGATAACAGTACACAAATACAGAATACTCTATTGTATTAATATAATTGTGGTGTACAAATCACTTGTATCTTGAGTAGGAAGACTAAAAGGCAAACTTATCACAAATAACAACAAGAACTTTCTGAGAGACAGCATAAAAAGATATGGATGGAAACAACTAAAAGTTAAAAAGCAATGGGGGGAAGGAGTTAAAGTGTAGAATTTCTTTTAGATTTCTTTTTGTTTATTTGTTTGTAAGGAGAGTTGTAATATGTTTAAAATAATTGGTTATAAAATGTTTATTACAAGCTTCATGGTAAGCTCAAATCAAAAAACCTACACCAGATACACACACAAAAAAAGCAAGAAATTAAAACATACTACCAGAGAAAATCATTTTTAACAAAGGAAGACAGAAAGAAGGAAAGAGAAGACCATAAAACAACCAGAAATCAAATAACAACATGGCAGCAGTAAGTCTTACATATCAGTAACATTTAATGTGAATGTATTAAACTCTCTAATCAAAAGACATAGAATGGATGAATAGATTTAAAAAAATACCCAACTATATGTTGTCTATAAGAAACCACTTCACCTATAAAGATACCCACAGACTGAAAATAAAGGGAAGGAAAAAGATATTCCACGCAAATGGAAACCAAAAAAGAGCAGGACTAGCTATACTTCTATCAGATAAAATAGATTTCAAGACGAAACCTGTAAAAAGAGACAAAGAAGGTCACAATACAATGATAAAGGGGCCAATTCAGCAAGAAGATATAACAATTCTAAATATATATGCACGCAACATTGGAGCATCCAGATTATCTAAAGTAAATATTATCAGAGCTAAAGATAGAGATAGATTCCAATACAATAATCACTGGAGACCTCAACATTCCACTTTCAGTACTGGACAGGTCATCTAGACAGAAAATCAATAAAGTAATATTAGATTTAATCTGCACTATAGACCGAGTGGACCTAATAGAGATTTATAGAATGCTTCATCCAACAGCTGCAGAATGCACGTTCTTCTCCTCAGCCCATGGATAATTCTCAAGGATAGACCATATGTTAGGCCAAAAAACAAGTATCAAACATTTAAAAAAAAGTTGAAATCATATCAAGTATTTTCTCTGACCACAATGGAATAAAACTAGAAATCAATAACAAGAGGAACAATAGGAACTACAGAAACACATAGAAATTAGACAATATGGTCCTGAATAACCAGTGGGTCAATGAAGAGATTAAGAAGCAAACTAAAAAATTTCATGAAACAAATGAAAATGAAAACATAACGTATCAAAACCTATGGAATACAGCAAAAGCCATAAGAAAAGAAAAGGTTATAGCAATAAAATGCCTACCTCAGGAAAGTAGAAAAGCTTCAAATAAACAACCTAATGATACATCTCAAAGAACTAGAAAAACAAGAGCAAACCAAACCCAAAATTAGTAGAAGAAAAGAAATAATAAAAATTAGAGCAGAAATAAATGAAACTGAAACAACAAAAATCCAAAAGATCAATGAAACAAAAACTTGATTTTTTTAAAAGATAAAACAAACTTGATACACCTTTAGCCAGACTAAGAAAAAAAGAGAGAAGACCCAAATAAATAAAATCAGAGATGAAAAAGGAGACATTACAACTAGTACTATAGAAATCCAAAGGCCGGGCGCAGTGGCTCACACCTGTAATCCTAGCTCTCTGGGAGGCTGAGGCGGGCGGATTGTTTGAGCTCAGGAGTTCGAAACCAGCCTGAGCAAGAGTGAGACCCTGTCTCTACTAAAAATAGAAAGAAATTAATTGGACAACTAAAAATATATAGAAAAAAAATTAGCCGGGCATGGTGGCGCATGCCTGTAGTCCCAGCTACTCGGGAGGCTGAGGCAGAAGGATCGCTTGAGCCCAGGAGTTTGAGGTTGCTGTGAGCTAGGCTGACGTCACGTCACTCTAGCCCGGGCACCACAGTGAGACTCTGTCTCAAAAAAAAAAAAAAAGAAATCCAAAGAAACATTAGAGACTAGTATGAGCAACTATTATGCCAATAAATTGGAAAACCTAGAAGAAAGGGCTAAATACTTAGACATCTATAACCTGCCAAGATTGAACCAGAAAGAAATCCAAAACCTGAATAAACTAATAACAATAAGATAGAAGCAAAAATAAAAAGTCTCCCTTCAAAGAAAATCCCAGAATCTAGTGTTTTCACTGCGGAATTGTACCAAGCATTCAAAGAAGAATTAATATCAATCCTACTTAAACTAGTCCAAAAAATCGAGGAGGAGGGAATATTCCCAAACTCATTCTGCGAGGCCTGTGTTACCCTGATACCAAAACAAGACAAACACACAACAACAAAAAAATAAAACTATAGATCAATATCTCTGATGAACATAGATGCAAAAATCCTCAACAAAATACAAGCAAACCTAATTCAACAACACATTAAAAAGTTTACTCATCATGATCAAGTGAGAGTCATCCCAGAAATGAAAGAATGCTTTAACATACAGAAATCAATCAGTGTGATGCATCATATCAACAGAACAAAGGACAAAAACCATGTGATCATTTTAATTGATGCTGAAGAAGAATTTGATAAAATTCAATATCTCTTCATGATAAAAACTCTCAAAAAACTGGGCATAGAAGGAAGTTACCTCAACATGATAAAAGCCATATGGACTCACATCAAGTATCATACTGAATGGGGAAAAACTGAAAGCCTTTCCTCTAACATCTGGAACAAGACAAAGATGCCCACTCTCACCACTGTTATTCAACATAGTACAGGAAGTTCTAGTACAGGAGCAATCAGGAAAGAGAAAGAAATAAAGGTATTTGAATTAGAAAGAAAGAAGTCAAATTATCCTTCTTTGCAGATGATTCGATCTTCTATCTAGAGAAACCTAAAGATTCCACCAAAAAACTATTAGAACTGATAAACAAATTCAATAAATGTGGATACAAAATCAATATACAAAAATCAGTAGCATTTCTGTATGCCAACTATAAACAATCCGAAAAAGAAAACAAGAAAGTAATCCCATTTACAATAGCTACAAATAAAATAAAATACCTAGGAATAAACTTCACCAAAGAAGTGAAAGACCTCTATAATGAAAAGTATAAAACATTAATGAAATAAAATGAAGAGGACACACAAAAACGGAAAGATATTCCATGCTTGTTGAATCAATATTGTTAAAATATCCATACTTCCCAAAGTGCTCTACAGATTCAGTGCAATCCCCATCAAAAGACCAACAACATTCTTCACAGAAATAGAAAAAAGAACCCCAAAATTTATATGGAACCACAAAAGACTCCAAATAGCCAAAGCTATCCTGAGCAAAAAGAACAAAACTGGAGGAATCACATTATCTGACTTCAAATTATACTTCAGAGCCATAATATGCAAAACAGCATGGTACCGGCATAAAACAGACACATAGACCAGTGGAACAGAATAAAGAACTCAGAAATAAATTCACACACTTACAGTGAACTTAACTTCAACAAAGTTGCCAAGAACATACAGTGGGGAAAGAACAATCTCTTCAATAAATGGTGCTGGGAAAATCGGAGGTCCATATGCAGAAGAATGAAACTAGAACCTATCTCTTGCCATATACAAAAATCAAATCAAAATGGGTTAAAGACTTAAAACTAAGACCTGAAACTATGAAACTACTCAGAGGAAACATTCAGGAAATGCTTTAGGACACTGGTCTAGGCAACAATTTCTTGAGTAATAGCCCCAAAGCATAGGCAACCAAAGCAAAATTGGACAAATGGGATCATATCAAACTAAAATGCTCCTGTACAGCAAAGGAAACAATCAACAAAGGGAAGTGATAACCCACAGAATGGGAGAAAATATTTGCAAACTACCCATCTGACAAGGGATCAATTACTAGAATATATAAGGAGCTTCAACAACTCAACAGGAAAAAAGTCAAATAATGTGATTAAGAATAGGCAAAGGATCTGAATAGACATTTCTCAAAAGAAGACATACAAATGGTCAACACATACATGCAAAAATGCTCAACATCATCAGTCATCAGAGAAACGCAAATCAAAACTACAATGAGATATCATTTCACCTCAGTAAAATGGTTTTTATCCATAAGACAGGCAATAATGAATGCTGGTGAGGATATGGAGAAAGGGAAACCCTTGTACATTGTTGGTGGGAATGTAAAGTAGTGAACCACTATGGAGAACGGTATGGAGGTTCCTCAAAAAACTGAAAATAGAACTACCCTATGACCCAGCAATCCCACTGCCAGGAATAGTATCGAAAAGATGGGAATTCGTTATATAGAAAAGGTCTCTGCGCTCCCATGTTTATTGTAGCACTGTTCACAATAGCCAGGGTATGGAATCAACCTGAGTGTCCACCCATGGATGAATGGATAAAGAAGTTGTGGTTCACATGCACAATAGAATACTATATAGCCACAAAAAGGAATGAAATCCTGCCATTCGCAACAACATGGAAGGAACTGGAGCACATTATGTTAAGTGAAATAAGCCAAGCACAGAAAGACAAATCTTGCATGTTCTCACTCACATGTGGGAGCTAAATACCAAAAACAAATGATCTCACGGAGACAGAGAAGGAGGGTTACCAGATGCTGGGAAGGGTAGCAGGGAGGGAGGGATAAAGTGGGGATGGTTAATGGTTACAAAAATATAGTAGATAGAATGAGCAATATTTGATAGCACAACAAAGGGACTATTATCAACAGAAAGTCAGGGCATGCTTTAAAATAACTAAAAGAGTGGACTTGGAATGTTCCTAACACAAAGAAATGATAAACGCCTGAGGTGATGGATGCCCCAATTACCCTGATTTGATTAATTTGCATTGTATGTCTGTATCAAAACATCACATATATCCTATAAATACATACAACTCTTATGTACCCGTAATTAAAAATAAAGAATTTTAAAAAACGAGAAAGAAAGAAGTAAGAAATAGTACATATGATGAATGAAAAGAGTCACTTGGTCTTCAGTGAAGAGCATTTGGGCAGTTTGTGCTATGGTTTGAACGTTCCCCCAAAACTCATGTTGAAATTTAGTTGCCACTGGGAGGGTATGAAGAGATGGGACCTCCAATAGGTGATCGGGTCATGAGGGCTCCACTCTAAAGAATGGGTTAGCGCCGTTCTCATGGGGGTGGGCTTGTTATCACAGGAGTCGGCCCCCCTCTGTCTCGCACACACACTTCCTCCCAGGCAGCGCCTTCTGCCACATGATGATGCAGCAAGAAGGCCCTCACCCGACCTTGGACTTCCCAGCCTGCGGAACTGTAAGCCAAATAGACCTCTTCTACTGATAAATTAGCCAGTCTGTGGTATTCTGCTACAGCAGCAGAAAACAAAGACAGCTCGCACACGCGGGGCAGCGTTGGGTTTTACCTCTCGTGTTTCTGGATGAGGTGGGTCACCTGAGCTGCCGCAGTGCTCAGAAGGCCTTGCACGCGGGTTTCTGATGACTGCAGGTTCCGCACCAGGTATTCTCTGTGGCCAAATCTTTTACTTAGATGATACCTCTTACAAGCCTGGAAAAAGTCCATTAACTCTTCTACATTATCCTGTTTAAAAAAAAATGAGACAATATGCCTAGTTAAAGTTTAGAGAAAAGTCTTTCTAGACACTTAAAATATTACTTCTCCTTTCAGAAGAACATACACAGGAAAAGAAACACTGGGCTTAACATCTTTAACCTCCCTGCCCATAACAAAGGTTTATGAGAAAATTATATACAAATAAGAAATGAGGGCTTTGAAAAGTGCAGTCTAGACCTAGATGCTAAAAGGTTATCAGAGCATCTTTACTGCCCTAAGAAATGGAACATAAATTTCAGCCAGTCATCCTTCGCCCATGCACACATTCCCAGCTGTGGAGTTCCTGCAAGTGCTGGGCACCAGGACAAGGTGAGCTGAAGTTCTGACATAAATCAGCCATCAGCCCCAGACCCAGGAGCTTCACACTCAGAGGAGATCACACAGGCGTGTGCACAAAGAGCAGCAAGAGTGTTCCTCAATCCACAAAATGAACAAAACCTAACCAAACACAGGAGAGTAATAATAACTAGCTTACATCGGGGGTTTTCTCTGGATCTAGACCTGGGCCAGAAGCGTTTCATGTCTCATCTAACTTAACCTAAGGAGAGAATATAATTACTTCCATTTCACAGATGAAGAAACTGAGTCCACATCACACAACTGACAAATGGCTGAGCAGAGATTTGAGCCCAGCAATCTAACTTAAGCACAGGGCCTGTGCTCTGATATCATCACAGGCTGCCTCCAAAAATCCAGCTCTAACCAGTGGACAGCAATGAGACCAGCAGCATCCGTAGTGTCATCCCATGGATTGGCGTCATTGTCTTTTTATCGGTCGGTGGAAATACCGTCCATATGATGGATTACCAAAAGGATCAATGCTTTGTTCAACAAGAAACGTATGACACCATGGACACTGTCCTTTCCACATAAAAGCTGTAACACCTCCAGGTCTCAACACTGGGAACTGGTGCCGTCCGGACGGTGAAAGCTGGATGGTCAATCAGAAGTGGCCTAATGCTACATCCCCCTGAGAATTACTGGTGACAGAGTCCCTACAACAGGGAAGCTGAAGCTGTGTCCCTGTTCTCAGCAGCACTGGGGCCTTGTGTGTTGGGTGATGTGAGTCTGTAAATATCTAAGCAATGCCATGGAGTCTGAATGCCTACCTATGAACACAACAGAATTCCTACGTTATATACTTTCATTGCACTTTCAATGGAAAAAAGCCTAGATTGCAATGGAGAGGCTAGCTTGTTCTCTTTATGTCCCGGGTGCCTTCTGACAGTGGCTCTCTCTTCCCGAGAGGCTGGTGACAATTACTTGGTTTCCTCCTGGGATGGCCCTGATGGTCTCAGCCCTCACGTACTGGGCCGGTGCTGGTCGTGTGTCCCCAAGGGAGAGGCAGAGCCAGGCTTTGTCTTCGTCAGAGGTTAGGTGAATGCTGAGTCGCGTGGCCTCAACTCGGAGGACCTGCTCACAGAGGCAGGGGGCCACCCGTGCTCACATCTCCTCTTCATCCTATGTCGTCTTTCACCCCTGCTTTGGCAATGGTAGTAACAGAGGCTGGCTGCCAGCCTCCATTCACCCCGGGTGGACGCAGCTCGTTCTGCTGTGTGTGGAACCTACACTTCTAGCGCAAGTAGGGAATTTCAAAGAGGGAAATTTAACCATCAAGCCAACTTTCTGGAATGATTTTCACTTACAAAGATAAAACTGAAATAGCAGAGTGACTGCTACGTCAGAAGAACACACTGCTCAAGAACCACAGGTTTACATTCGTAAAAGGAACACGACGCTGCACCGAGGAGCAAATTAACCCCTACGGACTCGAGTGTGCCAGGCGATGCCCCAAAGCCTCCAGCACCATCCAACGGTGTTCGCTGCGGATAAGCAGAGACTGGCTCATGAACCGGAAGAGGCAGCCTGTCTGATGAAAGGCATCTGAATTTCTCAAATATTTTATTCACAGTCAAAACAGAAAATTCCACAAAGTAAAGTAAGAGTTTGTTGTAAGTACCCTTCCCATCAGCTGGAGCAAGCTGTCAGCACCCGTGATAACACCGGAGACAAACAAAGAAGTGCATTCTTGCAAACCAGCGATGTCACTCTGCGTGCATGTGAGTGTGTGTGTGTGTGTGTGTGTGTGTGCATGCCCCTGTGCTTATAAAATATTAATACTTCATGCAGGCCTCATAAGAAATTCCACAGAAGAGCTGACAGTCTCAGATAAACTATTTTCACTATCACCCAAGAGTTTATTCAGTCTGGATTAATAACACTCACACTCAAGCTTACATGCAAAAACACACGAATTCATCCAGACATATCTAGACACAGATACTAAACCCTACATGCACATCAATACACACACATATGCAAAATATGTTTTTTTACTGCTATATACATTAAACACATTATATGTTATGCCAAGCACTAACTTTGCATGAATCAGCTCATTAAATCTGCATCACACCCCTGTGAGTGTGGGTACTCTTTTGTGCCCATCTTAGAGGTGAGGAAACTAAGGCTCGGAGAAGTGAGGTAACTTGCTCAAGTTCGCACAGCAGGTGGTGGAATGGGCCAGCCTGAGTCCACAGCCTGTATGCCAAGCCACCATCTGCTCTGCTTACTGGAAACTCGCTCACACACCAAGAGGTACAAGGAAGAGAAAGTTAGCTAATAGGTACACAGCACAATAGGAGAGACAGGACTTAACCCTGAGAGAGAGGAGAAATTTACTGAAACAATTCAGGGAAACTACTCTCCCATCACAGCAAGCCTGATTTGAGGTATTACCTGTATTTTAGAATAATTTTGCAGCAACATTTTAGCTGCCTCTGGCTTCAATTCCCCTTTGAAAATAGCACTTTTTATCTGGGTAAAAAAGATGCTATGCAGTTCGTTTCTCTGGAAAACAGCGAGCTGTCTGTGAGCCTTGGCGAAGTCTTCCTCTTGCTGCAAAGCGAGAAACTTCCTCAGGTGCTCCTGCTCCAGGCGGTGGAGGGTCCGCAGGAGGTTGTTGCACTCTGCAGTGGACTGTGGACAGAAGAGGCAGCGCATGAGAGACTAATATGCTGAACACGCATGCACACATGCACGAAATGCAATGTATATGTGCACACGCACAATGTGGACATGCACACATGTGCATGCACATACACACACGCACTATAATATGTACATGCACACAGTATGCACACATATGCACATACATGCAATGTGCACGTGCAAATGCACACAATGCAATGTGTACATGCACATGTGGACATTGCACACACATGCAATGTGTACACTCATGCATACACGTGTGCACACACAGGCAATGTGTGCATGCACACATGTACATTCGTGCACAAATACCACATGTACATACACAAGGCACAAGTACATGTGCAGCCACACAGTACATACAAATGCACACAGCAACATACAGTGCACACATGTGCACACAGATCCACAGGCACACACCCACATTCACATAAAACACATACACATGTGTGTGTGCACACACACACGCACACACACACAGTCCTAAGCTGACAACGAGAAGCTCCTAAGCCACAGCGTACGCCGTTACAACCTGGTCTCCCTGTTACCTTAATGATTCCCAGAACAATCTCAGAGCAGAAAATTCAGAGAGGTGGAAATCTGCAAATCCAACTACCTGAGAATGGCCTGAATGGAAACTTAAACATCAGCGGCTCCTGCTGTTAGGCCCACAAGATAATTGCCATTATCTTTCCTTCTCACTTCACTGAAAAGAAAAATGCCCGCAATCAGGGTCGAGTGGAGATCCTTTGGGTAAAAGACAGGCAGAAGAGGAGTTAAGAAATGGCCACTTGGATGCCTGCGTATTATATGGCCCTTTCCAGGAAAGGACGGAAACTCACCCCTACTGAGCTCCTGCTGCAGTAGCACCCCTTCCACCCCGCTGCTCTCAACTCCGTGCGGGCAGCAGAATTCTAGAAGTGGCCCCAAGATTCCTGGCCCCTGGTGTACATGTCCTGTAAATTCCTGTCCCTTGAGTGTGAACGTAAATTTAATTGTGATGGGATAATCACTCCTGCAATGAGGTTTACAGCAAAGGTGAGGGTGTCTTGGTGTAATTAAGGTCCCTAATCAGTTGCCTTTGAGGTAAACAAAGGGAGACCATCCCAGTGGGCCTGACTTCATCGGCAAGTCCTTAAAAGAGGGACTAGGCTCCTCCTGAAGATGCAGACCCACTCCTGCTGGCTTTGAAGAAACAAACTGCCATGTTTTTAACTGCCATGGAGAGAGGAAGCTTCTAGGAGCTGAAGGCGTCAGGCCTACACCCACAAGGACGTGAAAGCTGCAGACAGCCCGTGCAGCTCGGTCAGGACCCCGAGCGCCAGAGGAGGACGGGGCCCAGCTGAGACCTTGATTGCAAGCTGGTGACACCCTGAGCGGAGGTCCCAGTGAAGCTGTGCCCAGATGCCCGACCACAGGAACGGAGATAAGAAGTCACTAAATGTTGGTGATCTGTTACACAGCAACAGAAAACCAACACCCTCCACTTTCTAGGTGAAGAAACACAAGCTCAGAGAAGGTAAGGGCCTTTCCAAAACTCCCCCCGGGGCTCAGGAGGGAAGCAAAGGCACCGAAGCAAATCTTTAGGCCCCAAGCTCTGAAACCACACGGGCAGTGGACAGTGCAGCACGTTGGTGGAGTGGGGGCAGGGCAAGGTGCTCACGGCCAGGAGGCAGGGGCACAGCCATCCCAGACGGCCAGCAGCCCTGGCCCTGGGAGGCGGGAGGGTGGGGACCGTGCCTGCCTGGGCCGACCAGGGAAGGCAGACGGGGCTGTGATGCAGACAGCAAGGGCCATAGCTCCTCCAGGCTAAGTAAAATCGGACGTTCTATAACCGCCCTGAATTCCCTGGTTTCGGTAAACGATGTCAGCAGCTCCCCAGTTTCCCAAGTCACAGACCTGCTCACCTCTCTTCCCATTACTAATGAAAGCCCACGAAGGTGGCAGGCTCATCTTTGTTTTTTCTGTCTTTCCAGCTCCTTTCACATACTTTTCAATTTTTTTAGGATCTGGGCCGGAAAAGGGAAGCATTATTTATTTAGAGCCCCCCAAGAAGTCTAATGGCCAACACGTGACAGCCCTGTCCACAGGTGCTCACAGCAAAGCCCGTGGATAAGAAGAGCAGTGGCCACAGGGCTAGACCGGAGGGGCTTCCATGTGCCTCCTCCTGGCCCTGCCAGGACCCATCCCAATGTCGGTGGTTTGCCTGGGCCACCAAATAACAACTCAGCCTTTTTGAAAAGCTGATTTTATAAAAAAGGATTGGATCAGACTTTCTGAGTCACTCTAGTGCAGAGAAATGGTATTCACAGCTGACTTGATCTAAATCAAAGAATGCAATTCACCAACAACCATGAGGGTGACAGGACCCTGCCTGTGGGCATTGTGGTGACATTCTGCCATGAGTGACTAGCTGGTGCCCAGTTAGGTCAGTTCCTCCATCAAAGTGACCTTCTTTTTTGACAGTATAGAATCTGACAAGTCCCAAACCTCAATTTACTTTAACTAATAGAAATGAAAAATGGGGTAAAATCCATTTAGCTTCTCACAGCTAAGACAAAAAGTGCGCGCATACACACACACACACAAATCCTAAAATAAAATTTTCTGTCCTTGTTTAGAATTATGTCTCTGCTGAAGAATAAGGTATGAGGCAATGATATATTTGTGTCATTGTGAAACACCCTCTCAAATAAATTTAGATGGGACCCCCGTGCCCACTTCTTTCCTAAGGGGAGTTCAGACACTTGCAGAAATATGTTCTACCCCTAACCCAGTTCAACTTCCTGTGGCACAGATGAGAAAACTCAGCCTCAAAGCAGGGGACACCCACCCCCAGGCCTGCCAAGCATGGAAGGTCATGCATGGAAACAAGTGAGGTGGCCTGGTGTGAGAGGCACTAGGGAGTACTGGGGACTGTGGCAAAGTATAGGGCAATCTCTGCCTGTGGGCAGACACTATTCAGTCCACCAAAGGATATGCAGGAATATGAGCCTAACATGACCAAATCTTCCCATTCTTTAAGAGAAGCTGGCAATTTGGATTTTCTTATATAGTAAGTTTTATATTTTAAATATTGTCCACAGATGTACATTTTTAAAGGAATATTAAAATAATGATCACTCACCTCCAACTCCCTAGTGAACTTTCCAATAAAATGGACTTTTTAGGGGAGATAAGGTGCATGCACATTCTGGCTCCAAACACCGAGAAAAGCAACTTGTCCCATGGAGGGAGTGGGGGACACAGACCTTAGGGGAGGGTACCCGAATTCCAGTTTGAGAAGCATAAGGCTTGGTCAGGCTGTCAGGAGTAACTGCTATGCACACTGTTGACTCTACACCACCAAAAATGTGAGATCATGCTCAGGAAATTATGATTGTACTAAATCACATTCCCTGTACTCAATTTAGCAAGACAGGCAAATTATAAAAAATGCTTTATAAAAATAAATTCCAGAAATGGTTAAAATGTAAGAGTTCTTGCACTTAAGGAATATTTTCCTTTAAGACAAAGATTCAGAAAGGGGTTACGAAGCCTCGGGCAGCACAGAGCAGGAATCGGCCTGGCCTCCTCTTCTTTAAGTAGCTGAGAAATGGCTGGGTATAGAAGACAGACCCCAGAGGGAGGCCACAGCCTTGAAGTGCCAGTGATGGGCTGCAGGAAGCTGGGTTGCAAGGCACTTGCCCTCTGGGCCTCAGTTTCCCATCTCCAGGTAGAAGAATTTCACATATTCTAGGCCATGGGCTCCGTTAAAGATAATATTAAATTATGAACCATGGTAAGCGCTCCCTCAGGGTTGACACTGTGCCAAGCAATGACTGAAGTACTATACAAGCATTAACTTACTTGTTCTCACAACAGCCCTCTAAGACAGGCACCATTACTCTCCCTATTTTAAGGTTGTGGAACTAGACCAGGGTGACTGAGCAATGTGACTTCTGGAAGAACACGGTGAGGCTCCAACCCCAAGCAACCTGCTCTTTGTGTCTATACCCTCACTACTCTCCCTGGGGCCTCATGACGGAGAAACGCTTGGAAACGACAGGGAATTACACAGGCGTTTGACCACGGACAAATCCCATCTCTACACTGATTACAGTCAGCTCTCCGTATCCGTGGGCTCCACACCCGTGGATTCAACATCCGAGGATCAAAAATATTCGGAAAACAAATGGATGGTTGCGTCTATACTGAATATGTACGTACTTTTTTTTCTTGTCATTATTCCTTAAACAAAAGAGTACAACAACTATTTACATAGCGTTTACATCGTGTTAGGTATTTTAAGCAATCTAGAGATGATTTAATGTATACAGAAGGATGTGTGTAGGTTATATGCAAACACTACAAAATTTTATTTCAGGAACTTGAGCATCTGTATATTTTTGGTATCCAAGGAGCGGCGGAGGGGTCCTAGAGCCAATCCCCTGGGGGTTCTGAGGGATGACTGCACCGGAATTCCTAACTTTACTCAAAAAAGCTGATAATGCTCATTTTGCTTTTCTTTTTAAAAACTAACTCTTGGTGGAATAATACATCCAAAATATTTTCATGCATTTTATTTCAAGATGACGATATATGACAGATAATTATGATGCAGTCTACGGTCCTATAAGATGGAGTGGCTTGCACAGACTGGAGGGGAGCTAGTTCTATTAGCTTTTATAGCTCAGATACTATTTTTGGAAGCAGATTGGCTCAAACAAGGCAACTTGTCTCTGGACAGTGTCCTAGGAGATTCACAGGGATGATGCCTGCCCACTGATGCCAGCCAGCAGGTGTGGGGGAGAGGCGGGGGAGCGGCTGCAGAAAAGCCCTGAGGAGGGTGGGTTGGGAGGCCCCGGGAGAGGGCTGCAGAACAGAGGAAGCCAGAGCCAGGCGTCCTTCACGCCTCTGCATAGAAAAGCATTGCCCCAGGCAGTCTTTTGGTAGCAAAAGCAGTGGAAACACTTGAGATGCCCCGAAGGATAGGATGGGTTCACGTGGTGCCCACAAGGGATGTAACCTGCGATTGCAAGAGGGTCGGTGGGCGGTGCAGTACCGCAGTCAGGGGCACGCTGCCTGGGAGTGTCTTGGCTCCACCTGCCGTCCTTGGGCAGGTAAACTTCTCTGCATCTCAGTTTCCTCCCCTGTACAATGGGAACCTCTCAGTCCCAGCTCACTGAGTTGGTGTGAACATTTATTGAGCGCCACGTAATGTGCTTAGCACAATGCCCAACCCACAGTAGATGCTAAGAAGGAGCTGTTATTATTACACACCATATTTTTCAAGAGTATTTAGTAAAACCAGAAAATGTTTATGCTATGATGTAAATAAAAACAAGCAAGATATACAACTACACAAACTTTGTACGCCTTATTTATAAAAAAATATATATAAAGCAAAAGGCCAAGATGTACCCCGGAATCTGAGGGCCAGGGGGAAGCTGAGCCATCCCCACATGTGCAGGCCCAGGCCCACAGCGGGAACCCAGTGACGGGCCGAGTGGCGGCCTCTGCCGCCCAGTGGCGAAACGGGCTCCACCGGCTGGTTTTCAGGGTTTGGGGCTGGAATCAGCAAACTCTTCTGCAAAGGGCCGGATAAATATTTTAGACTTTGTAGGCCACATAAGGTCTCTGTCACATATTCTTTGGTTTTTGTTTGTTTGTTTTTCACAAGCTTTAAAAATGTAAAAACAATTCTCAACTAGAGGGCTATACCCAGGTAGCACTGGGCTCAGGGGTGTTCATTTGCTGACCACCACCTTCAAATATTTTCTGAGCCTCCCTTTTGAATATGTATTATTTTTACAGGACAAAAATGATAAACTTAGGAAAGAAGAGAAAGAGAGAGATAATAGGGTCCTTTAGGGGCTGAATCATGGAACAGTGCATTCAATGCACTCTTCCCGAGGGGGACACGTGCACCCTGATATCACAACCTTCTGCAAACCATGCCCTCGTGGACAGGCTCAGTCGTGAATGAAGCCTTTCTACTGGCTCTCTGACCTCTCCTGACCCTGTAAACATAACTCTATTTTAACATGGCTGAATGATGTCTCATTTTTTTATATCTTTCATTAGACCATAAACTTCTTGAATGCAAGAACCATGTTTCATTGTTCTCTGTACCTTCCCTGACTAGCCCAGTGCCTGAGAGACAATAAGTACCCAATAAATGCCTGCTAAATCAATCTGCATGGAGGGGTGGGTGGATGGGGAGACGGATGGTTGGACGGGTGACAGGTGGATGGATGGACAGGCGGGTGGATGGATGGACAGGTGGGTGGACAGATGAACGGCAAATCCCTGAGAGGTAGCAGAGAGGCAAGGAAGGAGCACTTGCCTTTCAAAGCTGCCTTACCCTTTCGCTAGCACGCTTCAGCAACTCTTCTGCTTCCTCCATGGCCACCATCTCCCTCTGGTACTGGTTTTCTGTCTTCTTTCTTGTTTCCAGGTCGCATTCAGCCATCAATGCCACCATCTTCCGATCGTACTCCTCTTGTATTTCATTTTCCAGCAACAGAAACTGCTTTTTGAAAACAGCACCCATCCTCCTCTCCACCTGGGGTGAGAGGTGGCCACTGCTGGTGAGATTCTTCAGCAGAAGAGCAATGATATCCTTGCTGATTTGGGCTCGACAAGCCTCCAGGTCTGCATCTGCTCGATTCAGGGTTGCAATCTCCAACCTGGGAAACACAAAAGTCAAAAGAATTTTATTACACAGAATTGCAACAGAAACCAAAGGATCCTCAAAGCTTAGAGGTTTTAAATTATTTGTAGGTAGGGCCTTTCTTTCTTCCTTTTTTCCTCCTTCTCTTTTTTTCCTCCCTGCCTTCTGCTCCATGCAGTGATTGAAGGCCAGTCACTAAATTAGCAGATCCTTATTTAATAAATTTGTAAGGTACCATGCTATGAGCAATAAGGAGTATAACTAATATAAGACATGGTCTCTGTCAGCAAGTGACAAGTCAACAGTAACAAGGAGACCAAGGGGAAAAAAAATGGATAGCTAATATATTTGAACAATTTAAAAATAAAGTTTATTTTACTTTTTTTCCAATTAAAAATTAATGTATGGACATGACAACTCAATGCAATGACAGCTAAATCCCATTCTATCCTGGATGGGATCCCAGAGCAGAAAAAGGACATTAGATTATTAACTACAGAAATCTGAATAAAGCTTGGACTTTAGTTAATAACAATGTATCCATATTGGTTTATTAATTGTAACAAATGTAAGATACTAGTAGATGTTAATAATAGGGGAAACTGGGTGTACGATATATGAGAACTCTGTCTTATCTTCTCAATTCTTCTGTAAATCTAAATCTGCTCTAAAATAAAGTCTTCTCGAAAAATATTTATGAGATATTTCACAGGGTCGCAGTGTTTTGGAACTTGATTGCGGTGGTGGCTGCACAACTGTATACACTTATGATTGTTAAATCATACTGCCTTCTTCAAATGGGTGAGATTTTACGGTATATCACTTATCCCTCTATAAAATATGGAAAATAAAGACAAATAGAAAAAGACTTCATTCACTGTGAGCTCATCACTCAATCAGGCCCAGTGGCTCACGCCTATAATCCCAGCACTCTGAGAGGCCAAGGTGGGAGGATTGCTTGGGGCCGGAAGTTCGAGACCAGCCTGAGCAACATAGCAGGACCCCATCTCTACAAAAAAATTTAAAAATTAGCTGGGAGTGGTGGCATGTGCCTGTAGTCCCAGCTACTCGGGAGGCTGAGGCCAAAAGTTTGAGGTGAATTACAAGCCACTGCATTCCAGCCTAGAGCGAGACCCTGTCTCAAAAAAAAGAAAAAGAAAGAAAGAAAGAACCAACAAAGGCATTATTTTGCTATATTTTCTTCCAGTTTTTTCTATGTATATTTTTTCCATAAATACACATGACTTTCATAGATACAAGTACAATTTTATCCCCTTTTTTTCAATTAACATTGCTCCCGGCATCTTCCAGTGGTATTTAAAAACTAAACGTTTCCTTTATAATGTTTTCAAAATATTTCACCATGTCATGCACCATCATTCAATTAACTAATCTACTATTGTTACACATTAGGGTTACTTGCAAATTTCAGAATCTAAAATAATCCTGAAACTGCTGAAAGCTCAGCTTTCTGCAGAGCTCTTGATACTCACAGCAATTTTCTCAGCACAGTTTCCCACAAAAGCAATCACTGGGTCAAATGTCAGCAACATTTTTTTTTTTTTTTGAGACAGAGTCTGGCTCTGTTGCCCTGGCTAGAGTGCCGTGGCGTCAGCCTAGCTCACAGCAACCTCAAACTCCTGGGCTCAAGCGATCCTCCTGCCTCAGCCTCCCGAGTAGCTGGGACTACAGGCATGCGCCACCATGCCCGGCTAATTTTTTCTATATATGTATTTTTAGTTGTCCAGATCATTTCTTTCTATTTTTTAGTAGAGACGTGGTCTCACTCTTGCTCAGGCTGGTCTCGAACTCCTGACCTTGAGCAACCCACCCGCCTCGGCCTCCCAGAGTGCTAGGATTACAGACGTGAGCCACCGCGCCCAGCCAACATTTTTAAACCTCTTGGGACATCCTGCCAAATTGCTTTCCAGAAGAGCTCCCGAGCGATACATTCAGAGCCTTACTTGATACCCCACCCTCTACAATGTCAAAAAATCCTTGATAATTTGATAGGAAAAAAATGGAAGGTGATTATAAAAATATGTTTTAAGAAAACTGTTATAAAATTTTCAAACATTTAAAAGTAGACAGAATAGTATGACTCCCACATTACCCAACTTCAAAAATTGTCAATATTTATCACTGTTGTTTTATCTACTGCCTTTAATGTGTGTTTGAGCATTTTCAAGCAAATCTCAGATTTGGCATTTCACCTGTCAGCACGTCAGCATGCATCTTTAACTGTCAAGGAGCTAGACAGGTAGGCAGAGAGACAGACGTGTACATGGCTAGCTACCTACCAATCTATTTGCACGTACACGTGTCTATTTTACCTAACCTTGCCGCTGAAGACTGGGAAAATATACTACCCCCAAATGTGCTATTCTGGCATACCGACGCCTTTAAGTTAAAGGCACTTCAAAAACCAGTCAACCAACCAGCAGGTATAAGAAGATCACTCTGCCCTTCATGCTGTTTCTTAAAAGTAGACTGACAAAATTCCCACGTGAAAGATGCCTTCCCTATACTAGCAGGAAACCAACATTCTCATCACCAAGGACGGAAACTGACACCAAGAGAATTCTGTACAAACAAACCTTGTTAAGATAATTATCTTGCGTTAGCCTTACCACATAATTTGGCTGCTTTTTCGCAACCTGCTATTCTTTGTCCAGTTCAGTGTGTAACTGCTTGACTCTAACTGCTTCCTCGGGTCTTCACTTCCCCGCAAGGGCTCTGGTGTCGCATAAGTCGTGTGTTGAACCCGCCTGCTTTTCTCCTGTCAATCTCTCTTATGTCAGTTTAATTCTCAGGCCCAGCCCGGGACCCTAAGAGGGTGGCGGTAGAGTCTGACTCCCTGTACTGCCATTATTATACTAAAAATATTTAAAATAACCCCAATAATTAATAACATCTAGTGATCAGTCATTATTCAAACTACCTCAAGTGTCTCAGAAATGTCTTTTTACAGCTGAAAGTTTAATTCAAGAACCAAACAAAATCCCATGATGTCAGCTAAGTACACTTTGACCTATAACATCCTGGCCTTTCACTTTTTCTTCCGTGGCATGGATCTGTTGGAGGAACCAGGCCATGCGTCCTGCAGAACGTCCCACGTTCTGAACTTGATTCATTGCTTCCACGGAATGTCACTGTCCCTCTCTCTACCCCTTCCTGTATTTCCTGTACACTAGTAGTTAGATCTAAGGTCTTGTAGTCAGATTCAATTTGTTTTCCAATTTTTTTGAGTTTTTTTTAAATTGAAATAAAATATACATATACAATTTACCATCTTCACTAGTTTTAAATGTACAGTTCAGTGGTAATAAATACATTTATATTCTTCTTTTTCCCCTTCATTCCACCTTCCTCCTCCCCTTCCTGGCCTCCCTCTGGTAACCACGAATCTACTCTACCTTCATGAGAGCCACGTTTTGGCTCCCGCGTGTGAGTGAGAACATGCATTATCTGTCTTTCTGGCTTAGCTTATTTCACTGAACATAGTCTTCAGTTCCATCCACGTTGCTGCAAATGACAGGATTTCATTTTTTTTTATGGCTAATCATATGTCATTGTGTATGTGTATCACACTTTCTTTATCTACTCATCTATTCATGGGTACTTAGGTTGATTCCATATTTTGGCTATTGTGAAGATTGCTACAATAAACATGGGAGTGTAGCTATCTTTTTGATGTATTGATTTCCCTTCTTTTGGATATATACCCAGTAGTGGAATTGCTGGATCATAGGGTAGTTCTATTTTTAGTTTCTGAAGAACTTCTATACAGTTCTCCATAGTAGCTGTATAAGTGGTACTCTGTGCTTCCCACAGGTTCATACTATGGAGTAATGCTAAGACGGATTCATAAGCTCAAGTAGTGCCAACATGATCCCTGCATTACAATGTTTCCTACCAACCTTTCACCTAATGTTTATAGCACCCATTTCTAATTGTTACCCAAATACATGATTTCATTGGTGCTTAAAAAATGTACACTTTCTATCATATCTTCTGCATTTTTTGAGCTGAGATTCTTCAAAAAGAAAAACTGTCATCAACAATTCAGATACTCTGACATAAAGTTTATAAATAGGAGAGATGTTTGATTCTTTCCCTTATATTTTATCAGTTTTCTTATTAAAGAGTTGGTATCACAGCAACCTTTAATGGTAACAAATGAGTTTGCATTGGTTTGTTTATTGGCTTGTTTTGTTTTGTTTTAGTAGGAGGGCAAAAGGTTAACAAAACTTTTCTCAACTCCCTGAGAATCTGAGCTTTGGTTAATTCTTACCCAGAATCCTCATGAGAGGAAGATCATCAAATACGTTACCAGGTAACATGGCTTATGGTAAAAATGATGCCTGACTGGCAAATTACATGTGGACGGGGGAGACATAAATAAACCATAAATAAATAATAGGGATGCCATACTTTGCACTTCCCTAAGGGAGGTAACTCTTGGAACTGGGCATGTCCCTTGGAAGCTATGCCTGTGAGTTGTTACAAGAGATATTGGCATCTGTGGGCTTGGAAGCTTTTAAGCCAGGAAGACTCCTACATCTGTCTGGTGTAGACTACATCTCCTTGCACCAGAGCTATGTCACCTGGGAAGAAAATACCTCCCGAACACTGCAGTGTGACCTGCGATGAGGACACCCACAGGAGAAGAATACCTAGCACTGTCCCCACAGCAAGCTGTGCCGCAGCCCTCGAGCCTTCAGAGCAGATGGCCAGGTGTGGCCTGTAGGAGTCTTGTGAGTCTGAATGTTTAGCTGAGCCTGGGCACACCTCTGCCTCTGCACAGTATCACCACAACACTGCAGACTTTATGTATTTGGTGGGTTTTGACCCACTGCAGTCATTCTTTTCGATGGTCAACTTTTACCATCTTAGATAAAAACGGCTCCTGTGTCCTCTGGACACAACCCAATTAGTCTAGTTTTGTTTTTTTTTGAGACCAAGTCTCACTGTGTTGCCCGGGTTAGAGTGCCGTGGTATCATCCTAGCTCACAG